TACTTTTTTTTATGATGGTGGTAGCAACCTAAGGATAAGGTAGAAGTGGGACACACACATTCATCCTTTAACCCTTTAACTGTCCAAACGTAGATCTACGTTTTCGCGTGTAACGCTCCGACCTTGATTTTCTCCATAAGAAAGCAAGTAACAGCAGTATAGAACAGCACCTTGGAGAGTGACTACATAGGATTGTACGAGATAATCATCACAATTTTATGAGGAACACGTACCAGGTATCTCCATTCACAGCTCTCTTCTTGCTGGAGTTTCTGACTAGCTACACAATGAGATGCTTGGTACACATGTGTTCCTCATAAAACTGTTGTGGGAGGAAGGAAGAGTCCACTAGCCCTTTGTGAGAGGGCTAAGTCCCTCAGAGAGCTGAGGGGACTGAGAGATATCCCCCCTTTTACTGGAGATTTTTCTCCACAAGATTTTAAGTTGGGATCTTAGCTAGAGTATATTATCCTTTCCCCTTGATGTTGCAAGAGGAACTGTAAAGAATAACTAAGGGAAGGGTTATCACACACTCTGAGGGTGGTATGGGAATATTGCAGTTTGGAGGGACATTTGAATTGTGATATCTATGTACATGTACTTCTGATAAGACAGCGATTGAATGTTTCCTTTTTATGGGTCATCCTACTTTAGTGGGAGATGACCAGCATGATAAAAAATCTATATTTAAATTATTTTTTTAATGATTACAATTAGTTCTATGGTAAATATTTTTTCTTATTAAGAGTTGTGCTATACATACTTCTTATTTATTTGATTTGTACCTAAATGTTCAGTGGTTATGTTTTAAAAGTGCTGTAATATTTTATACAGTGTTTATAGACACATGATAATGCCTCTGCTTTTTCTTTGATCATAATATAAATGCATGTGCAATGTCATATTATAATATGTACTATATGTGATATTAAATCTGCAAAACCAGTCCATTACATTGTAAAATACTGTGAAGCTGGATGTGCCTCTTAATGTCTTCAGTGAGTGCTAGGCAGCAATACCTGGGGTGTGTGTAATGTGTGAGCTGTGTGCTTTAATTAATGTCTTCGGTGAGTGCTAGGCAGCAACAATGTCAAGAGTGTGTGTAATGTGTGAGCTGTGTGCATGTATGAGCTGTGTGCATGTGTGAGTTGTGTGCATGTGTGAGCTGTGAGTATTGTGTGAGCCTTGTGCATTAAGTCTTCAGTGAGTACTAGGTTGCAACAATATCAGGGGTGTGTGTGTTGTGTGGTTGATGATGGCTTTGAATCTGAATGCAGTGGAGGACTAACATGCATGAGCTTTTGCTCCTTATTCATCTTGTTAATTTCTTATAATTGGTTTGTCACATACTGTATTGATGTTATGATAGCATAGGCACTATGTAAAGCTGGTCTTATTGTTGCTTTTATGGTTTCAATCTGCTAATAATATGCTGACATAGTAACATATTTAAGCAATATATGTTCCACTGTATACAATTATAAAGGTGTTTTTCTCTTTCATACATTTTCAGACCCATATTTTGCATTTATTTTTCAATAATTTGCAAATGACCCCAGAGAAAATTCTGATTGCCATCAGGTTTTGTAGTATTTTTCCCTGGGAAGGGGAGGGGGCAAAGAGACATCATAACAAAAACTTCTACAGGATGTCACATGCTTCCTCATTATATAGAAAAAATTATTGTGGATCAAATGGATGCTCTTATGGATGAATGTTTGAAAATGTTTTTAAAATTTTTATATAGTGGACCTTCGAATTTCATCATCCCTTTTCTGTATGTAAAACTATAGTTATTCTCTATAAAATGTATTTTTTGTTAATATTTCTCATAAGAAATAATGTAAATTCAATTAATTCATTCCAGAAACCCAAAAATATTAACAAAAAATACATTTTATAGAGAATAACTATAGTTTTACATTCAGAAAAGGGATGATGAAATTCGAGAGTTCACTGTATTTGTATTTGTTCAAGCATGGTTGTCTTGGTGTACTGATTAATCTTTATTGGATGACATTATCCATTATCACTCTGCTTTGACTTCATTATTCTCATCTTCACAAGTTTATTGATTGAAAGATCAAGTTTGCTACCATGTTTAAATGAAATTGGAGTAGTTGGAAGTGTACAGTATAGGTGCATAATTGTGGCCCAGTTCTAATTTTATATACAATATTTATTCATTCATTTGTAGAGGGAATAGGAAAACTTCATTGGAGAGGTATAAATGAGATTAGGTCAGGTGTATCTAGGAGAAGTAGAACTAAGAAAGGAGTAGTGGTAATATTAAATGATCTATTTTGGAAAGGAAAGAGGGAATATAAGTGTATAATTTCAAGAATTACGTGGATTAAAACTGGGGTGGTATTCAATAAGTGGCTAACAATAAGTGTTTATGCACCTAGGGAAGAGAGGGGTGTAGAGGAGAGAGAAAGAGAGAGAGAGGAGAGATTTCGAGAGGTATAAAGTGAGCATTGTTCTGGGGGACTAGATGCTTAAGTGAGAGAAACTGTTGTAGAGGGCATAGTAGGCAAGTTTGGAGTGCTATGTGTAAATGTTAATGAAGGGGGGGCCTCTAATTGGGCTATGTATAAAAAGAGGTTTGATGATGGTAATATGTATTTTCAGAAAAGAGAAGAAATAAATACATGAGATAAGATATAGGGCATGATTCTAGCAGTTTATAAAAGTATGACAGGTAGACTTCTGGATGTTCATGTTTTTAGAGGGATGACAGATATATCAGATATAGTGGTAGCATTTATGGATTTAGAAAAGACATACGGATGAGTGGATAGGGGATCATTGTGGCAGATGTTGCAAATCTGTGGAATAGGTGGTATGTTACTGAAAGCAGTAAAGAGCTTTTATGTAGAGAGCAAGGCACAGGCTAGGGTATGTAGCAGAGAGAGAGAGAGAGAGATTATTTTACAGTTACTTGAGCCTTAGACAGGGATGTGTGATGTCACTGTGGTTGTTTAACATATTAATGAATGGGGTTGTAAAAGAAGTGAACACTGGGGTGGTAAGACACATGTGCAACAGTTAGGTATCTTTATTCTGAAATGTTTTGCCTACACAGTAGGCTTCTTCAGTCGAGTACAGAAAAGTTGGTAGAAGCAGTAAAGATCTGAAGACAATGTAATCAGTTCATCACCCTTGAAAATGTAGTTTTGAGGTGGTCAGTCCCTCAGCCAGGCTCAAAACTACATCTTCAAGGGTGATGGACTGATTACATCATCTTCACATCTCTACTGCTTCTATCAATTTTTCTGTATCCGACTGAAGAAGCCTACTGTGTAGACAAAACGTTTCGGAATAAAGATACCTAACTGTTGCACAGGTAGAGCCTTGAGGTATCTGCGGGGAGAAAGAACTTTATCCATGGAGGCAAAAAAAAACGGGAATGTACCATAGAATAGTAGTACCAACACTTTTGTATGGGTGTGAAATGGGTTTTGAATGTTGTAATGAGGAGAAGGCTGGAAGCAGTAGAGATGTGTTTGAAGGTAGTGCATGGTGCAAACATTGTGCTGAAAATTCAGAGCTTGGAGACTAGGAGGAGATGTGGAGTTACCAGAAGTATTTTTCAGAGGGATGAGGAGGGCAAGTTAAGATTTTGGCGATTTAGAGGATATATAATAATATGAGGGCAAAGGAGAGGGGGTAAAGGGGTTTTGAGTGATAGGGGCTTGGGCATGCAACAGGAATATACGAGAATTTTAAATAGGTGTGAGTGGAGGCAAGTGGTTTTTATGATTTAGTGTGCTGTTGGAGTATAAGCAAGGTAACATTTATAAAGAGATTCAGGGAAACAAGCTTGCTGGACTTGAGTTGTGGAGGTGGAAAATAGAATGCTGGCACTCTGGAGGAGGAGTGGGAATGCTGAAGTTTGGAGGGACATGTGACCTGTGATACTGATGCCCACAAGACAGAACAGTGATTGAGTGAGTGATAGGGAATTTTTTTTCTTTGACGGGTCACCTCACTTTGGTGGGAGACTGTCAGAATGTTAAAAAGCATAAACATTCATGTAGTCTTTGTCTTGTTTTCAAAATTATTTTTTGTGTGCAGTTTTTAAGCTTTTCATTATTAACATGATAAATACACTGGAACCTCTGTTTTTGTCATTAATTCATTCCAAAAAGTCTGACAAAAACTGAAGCAATATTTCCCATAAGAAATAATGTAAATACAATTAATCTGTTCCAGACACCCAAAAATATTAACAAAAAATACATTTTATAAAGAATAACTATATTTTTACATACAGAAAACAATGAGAAATAAATATAAATGACTAATGAAATGGATAAATTAACATATAACATCACTTTTACCTTTATTGAAGACTCTTGTTGGTGTATAGAAGATGGTGAGGAGGGGAGAGGGAGGAGAAGTTATCTCTACCACCATCACTACTACCCTCTACCACAATTACTACCACCCCCTACCACAATCACTACCACCCCATACTGCAATCACTACCACCCTCTACTGCCATCACAATCACTACCACCCTCTACCACCATCACTACCACCCTCTGCCACCATCACTACCACCCTCTACCACCATCACTACCACCCTCTACCACCATCACTACCACTCTCTACCACCATCACTACCACTCTACCATCATCACTACCACCCTCTACCACCATCACTACCACCCTCTACCACCATCTCTACCACCCTCTAGCACCATCACTACCACCCTCTACCACCATCACTACTACCCTCAGGGCAGGCTAACAAGTTCAGTCCAGCGGACCACTGTCAACTCGATGAAAACCGAGGTGATGAACGATAACTGGTACAAATTTTGACGAAAAAGTCGTCAGAAACCGAATTCAACGAAAACCAGGGCAAACGAAAACCGAGGTTCCATTGTAATCAAATATAAAACAGGAAAATAATTCATCTTTGTTGCTACATTAATGCCATATGTCTTTACTGATAGTTTTAACTTTTGCTTTACATTATTTTATTATATATATTTTCCTCAGGCTGAGAAATCACTTTACACGATGAATCCAGTGACTGAAACTCCAGAGTCCCAAGTCAATGGAATGACAACCACTACTGTACCTCCTGGCTCTGCCCTTAAGGCCAAGAGTAGACCAAGGAAAGGTAAATGAATGAATGCAAATATACAGTAGTACCCCGAGTTTCGGCCATAACTCGTTCCAGAAGGCTGTTCAAGTGCCATTACCAAACGAATTTGTTCCCATAAAGAATAATGTAAATTAGATTAATCCGTTTCAGACCCCCAAAAATGCACTTACAAAAGCACTTACAATAATACACTTACATAATTGTTCGAGTTGGGAGTTGTACGAAACTCGGGGTACCACTGTAGTTTGTTTGTAATACTTTATTTAAAAATATACATTAGAACCCTAACTTTCAAATTTCAGTTATGAACCCTCTTGCACTTGTTAACATGGCACTTTAGCACCAATTTATTTGTTATGAATGCTGATCTGCAGACCAAAAAAATTTCTGAAATTATTTTTTTCATTATTTTTCATCAAATTCATTCATGTATGTTCATTATATATAGTCATGAGCGGGGGTTCATGTTAGTTTGGTTATGATTTGATTGGTCAAGATTTGTAGATTTAATAATTACAATTTTGTTGAATTATAAGGACAATATTGTCTTTTTCCTCCATTAGTTTTTCACCATATACAGTACTACATTGATTTTTTATATTCATGTTAGGCATGTGTAGTGGGTTCACAGTTGTTTGAAAGAGATCAGTCAGGTATACTCTAGATTTATTAATGTCTTTGTTGTGTTGTGCATTGTCTTCATTGTTCTGTGCACATGAAAATAGTTGATGTGCAGCTACTCAGGCAAAAGCTTATACTACATTCTACCTTGCCACACATGACCAGATACCTTCTACACTTACCCTAGCCCTCCCTGCCACACTCATGACCCTGGCATGTGTTAATCCACCTTACAACCCTCCCTCCCTCCCTCCCACAATAATGACACATGTGTTTACCCACACCACAACCCTCCCTCCCACAATGATGACACGTGTTTACCCAACCACAACCCTCCTTGACATATTATGCTACTTCTTGGGTATGTACTTTCCTCACCACAACCTTCCCACACTACTCGCTAGACACTCCTCCCTCTGCCACAGCAGTGTGGATATAAAAACTGTACAGTCATGTAAGATGGGAGAAAGAGTGGGAGTGAATAGGAGAGTGGAAGTGAGGGAGGGAATAGGAGAGAGGGTGGTTAGGGAATTGGAGAGGGAGAGATGGGAATGAGGTAAGGGAGAGTGAGAGATGGACTCATCTGAGTACTGTGCTTTGTATTAAATTTCATTGTTGAAAGAATACAGTTCATGAAATTGGATATGGATTATTATGGTTCAGGATGCATCTCTAATTATAACCAGTATGTTTGTGGGACAATAAGACATTTGAGTTGTAAATGATTTTCAGGAATTCTTTAGAGTTATAAGTGGAAATCTACTTTATTATTATTATTTGTGATAAAGTCATTTCTTTGTCTATTATTTCATTAAACTATTTCATGATATTTATATTCCTCCTCATTGAACTAAACTATTTTTTTTCTCATATTCTCTATAGTGGAACATTGAAAGTTTGATTCAGTTAAGGCTGAGGTTTTGCGAGCTTTTGGCCTATATAACAAAACCAAATGGAAAAATATCAAGGAAATTTTAAAAGCAAAAGCTTATGTAAGTGTATTTTTGTAAGTGCTTTTGTAAGTGTATTTTTGGGTGTCTGAAACGGACTAATCTAATGTATGTATGTTATTCCTTATGGGAACAAATTCGTTCGGTATTGGCACTTGAACAGCCGTATGGAATGAATTTGGTTCATAACTCGAGGTACCACTGTAATTCAAACAGCATAAAAATTGAGACTAACCACTGCCTGTTGTTCTTATGTTCTTGTAAAGTGTAAGCACACCATATAATTTATGCATTAAGGTTATTTAAAAGGAGAGACTTTCAGTTTTTCTTTTAGGCCTCTCTGCCTCAGTGGGATATGGCCGGTTTGTTGAAAGAAGAAGTAAGGTTGTTGTTCTTTCAACGCACCGGCCATATCCCACCAAGGTGGGGCAGCAAAAAGAAAAAAAAACGAAAATTTCTCCTTTTACATTTAGTAATACAGTGGAACCTCAGTTTTTTTCATCAATTCGTTTCAGAAAGTCTGACGAGAACCGAATTCGACGAAAACTGAAGCAATATTTCCCATAAGAAATAATGTAAATACAATTAATCCGTTCCAGACACCCAAAAGTATTTCAAAAAAATACATTTATGGGAATAATTGTAGTTTTACATAACAGAAGACAATGAGAAATAAAATAAAGGACTAATGAAAGGTAATGAACATTTAAAATTCTTTTACCTTTGAACATTAAATGGTTATATAAAATACCGACAGGTTGTTAGGTATGACACATATCCCACAGTAGGTTCTTTATTAGATAAACGTTTCGCCTAAACAGTAGGCTTCTTCAGTCAAGTACAGAAAAGTTGATAGAAGCAGAAGATACTTGAAGACGATGTAATCAGTCCATCACCCTTAAAGTTTTGAGGTGGTCAGTCCCTCAGTTGGAGAAGAGAAATTGTTCCATAGTACTTGACTGAAGAAGCCTACTGTGTAGGCGAAACGTTTCATAATAAAGATACCTAACTGTTGCATATGTGTCTTACCTAACAACCACTACTTTTACCTTTATTGAAGACTCTCGTTGGCATATAGAAGACAGCGAGGAGGGGAGAGGGAGGAGAGGTTATCTCTACCACCATCACTACCACCCTCTGCCACCATCACAATCACTACCACCCTCTACCACCATCACAATCACTACCACTACCACCCTCTACCACCATCACTACCACCCTCTTCCATCACAACCACTACCACCCTCTACCACCATCACTACCACCATCACTACCTCCCTCTACCACCATTACTACCACCCTCTACCACCATCCTCTTCTACCATCACTACCACCCTCTACCGATGAGAAACAAAGCCAGACTGACTCAGAATGCGTGGGATGCTTTGTGTGAGCGCGGGCGGACTCGTATGGTATGGCAGACCACTGTTAACTCAAGGTAATGAACGAGAACTGGGACAAAATTTTGAGGAAAAAAGTCGTTGAAAACCAAATTCGACGACAACCATGGCAAACAAAAACTGAGGTTCCACTGTATATACAGGAAAAAGGTTTACTAGCCCCTTGCTCCTGGCATTTTAGTCGCCTCTTACGACACGCATGGCTTACGGAGTAAGAATTCTGTTCCACTTCCCCATGGAGATAAGAGGAAATAAGCAAGAATAAGAACTAGTAAGAAAAGTAGAAGAAAACCCAAAAGGGTGTGTATATGCTTGTATATGCTTGTACATGCATGTGTAGTGTGACCTAAATGTAAGAAGCAGCAAGATGCACCTGAAATCTTGCATGTTGGTGAGACAGAAAAAAGACACCAGCAATCCTACCATCATGTAAAACAATTACAGGCTTTCATTTTACATTCACTTGGTAGAATGGTAGTACCTCCCTGAGTGGTTGCTGTCTACCAACCTACTAGCATATGACAGTAGTACCTCCCTGGGTGGTTGCTGTCTACCAGCCTACTACCTAGGTGAAGTAAGGTTATGAAGTGGAATATCAGTGTTATATACTGAAACTCATTCAGAAATATAAAATGTTCCAGCACTCCTTGTGGCCCGGTGGCCTGGTGGCCTGGTGGCTATAGTTCCCGCTTTACACACGGAGGGCCCGGGTTCAATTCCTGGCAGGTGGAAACATTTCAACGCGTTTCTTTACACCTGTTGTCCTGTTCACCTAGCAGCAAATAGGCACCTGGGTGTTAGTCAACTGGTGTGGGTTGCATCCTGGGGTACAAGATTGAGGATTCCAATGGAAATAAGTTAGACAGTCCTCGATGACACACTGACTTTCTTGGGTTATCCTGGGTAGCTAGCCCTCTGGGGTTAAAAATCTTATCTTATGCAGTATACTGTACTTACAACATATTACTGCAGATTTTACCAATGTGTTGGGTAAGGTTATTAGGCAAAATTTCAGTGAACACTGAATTCTTTAAAAATTTATATTGATGTTCAACATTGTAATATCTGCCCACTTGAAAACTCACATCGTAACTCTCACCAGTATTGTAATTATGATATGCTTTTCCATGCTCTAGTATATACACAAGGGTTTAGTAAGTAAGTAAGTAAGTTTATTCAGGTATACACAAATACAGTTACATAGAATTATCATACATAGCAGCATATGTGTAGAGAACCTAGGATAACCCAAAAAAGTCAGACAGTGACTTATTTCCATTGGGGTCCTTTTACCTTATTATTATAATATAAAGGTTATAATATTTTCTTATTATTCTACAATGAAGATAACATCTTATTATCATACCTAAAAAGGACTATCTACAATACGAGGGTCATTATAGGAATATGGTAAAATTTACACGTTTTGTTAGCTAAAAAATAGAAAATCTTTCCCCTCCCTTTCTGTAGCTACATTCATCAGACACCTTTTGGCACTCTTTTAAAATGGTTCTTTGCTATGACTGGTTTTTGACATGTGCGGCAGTCTGTTCCTTTCCCTTTATTGCTGTACAATAAAGGTGTTTGAAGCCTGTCCAATGACTGTGGGTACTACAAAGTTGTGCTCTCTCCCCTAGTATATGATTGTTTTGGGTTTCCCCAAACCCTTGACAAAATTGACAGCAAGATATTCTGGACATTGTTTGTGAGCAATTTTTAAACATGATTTAGCTTCAGTTGTTTTACTCTGTCTTCAACATTCAGCATACCCAACTGCTGTAATTCATCTGGCCTACATGTTCTCTTGGTCCCGCCCCAGGAATGAATCTTACGATTTTGTTCTGGGTGATTTGCAGTTATCTTTCAGTTTTTTTGTCAAGGCAGAGTCCCAAAGAAGAGCAAGCGTATCCATATGGCATTGTATAAGGGCTAGACATAGGGTCCTGCGAGCCTCAGTAGGTAGGACACTGTGCTTGTCTATACAGGAACTTCAGTCTGGCATTCGCTTTCTTTACTACACTGTTCCCTATCAATTCTCCTGCAT